GTGCGTCTCCACGCTGAGTCCCGCAGCGCTGGGCACGCGGTAGGTGTCGGGGCTGGTGCGAGGCGCCAGCAGCAACGCCCGCCGCCCATTTGGTGGAGAACAGGCCTGCCCTGGGGGCCAGCGCATGCGCGCTGCTCTCCTTAACCCACTGCGACCTGAGCTCCCGCAGCAGTCAGGCTCAGACAGGCGGCCTCGAGAGGCCGGTCCCAGCAGAGGGCCTCCACGGCAAGGCCGCCTTCCGAAGTCAACACCGTCTTTAGGAGAATCTGACATCATTAAGCTTCTCCTTTTTTATGTGTTAGAACCGTTTTATGGGGGGGGGGGGGATGCAGCTCAGTGGCGGTGCACTCGCCCAGCATGTGCAAGGCCCTGGGTTCAATCCCTAGTACTGCAAACAAAAACAAGAACCTTATGCTAGGTGTCGCAGTCCACGCCTGTAATCCTAGCGCTCGGGGAGACCAAGGCAGGAGGATTTCATGTTTGAGGCCAGCCTGGGCAATTTAGTGAGACCCTGTCTCAAAATAAAGATTAAAAACAAAAGAAAGCAAAGGCTCTTTTATGTTACCCTTCGGTGTTCCGTAACTCTGTCAGGACTACCTGAGCAGAGGCGTCAGTGGCGCAGAAGGAGGATGGCAGGAAGGCAAAGGCCGGGGACTAGTTTCTAATTATACTAAAATCTAAATACCTACACGCCAAGGTGGTTCATCCACTAGATGGCGCTAGAATTAGTCATTTGGGACAAGAAGCTAGATATAGTACGTCCCTTACTATTTCCATCAAAATCTGTCTCAGATGGTTTATTTAAATTTTTAAAAACTAAGATGAGAAAAGTACTCAAAAAAAATCCCTATGACCTTGAAGTGAGAAAGCTTTTAAAAAGTAAGACAGGAGCCATAAAGCAAAGGTTTGCTAATATTTCCTATTGTCTTCACATGCCTCTTAACTACTTGCTAGGTACTATAGACAGCAGACATTATAACAAAGGTTAAAAACAACAGGAAAGCTAGGGGAGAAGACATGAAACATATATACCAGCCCAAAGGTAAAGATCCCTAATATACAAAGAGCATCTATAAATCAATAAGAACACGATCTACCCTCCAACAGAGAAAGGACTAAGGCCTTACCAACCAGTGATTTACAACAGAATAAATGGACATGACTCATAACATATGAGAAGATATTTGGTGCATGAGTGAATAAAGGAGCACAATATAAAGAAGCAAAATCAAGGAGAAAAATATTCTGATTCTTTCTGACCACTGATCGTGGGTTTGTGGCCAATGCACTAGTACAGCACATTTCCTTCCACAGTTTTCCTCCTCGTCCTCAGGCCTACAGAGCAGGGCCAATACACCACATCCCCTGAGCGCCTGGAAGCCCAGCGTGCGGCAGGGCTCAGTAAGTTTCAATACAGCCACAAAGAGACTGTTAGACACGGCGCAGCAAAGTCACCAGGACCTGTGACCTCACAGCAAAGGGCAAATGCTTGTCGGGTCAGTCAGGACACGAAGTGCTCCCTGCAGAACATGCAGCTGATTGGGAAAAGGACACAGAGAAAAGACCAGAGGCAAAAGCCCGAGCGAACGGCTTTTCTAGTGGCTTACTCTCTTTCCTCTCATATTTCTGTATATTCTGAGGTTGACAGTGTGTATATGCTACTTTTATAGCTGGGGAGACAAATTTGAAAACCCTGAACGTGGTAAAGCACTTTGCTCCTCCGCAAAGACTCAGTAGCCCTCTTGCCCACATCGCCTACCCAGCACCCCGGTAGCTGACAGACCCTTGTGTAACTAATGACAGATGCCCACCTCTTAGACCCTGGTGTCCATGCGCTGTGGGTTATTCAACCTGCTCAACTCGACTGGGTGCAGAGTATCGAACCCTTGTGTTGATTGATGAGTAGTTCCTATTATTACCCCTTTCCTAAAGCCCAGAGTTCAGAGAAGTTAAGATCCCTGCCCTAGGTCACACAGCTCAGGTCACTAAGCTGAGCGTCCCACCCAGAAGTGTCCAAGGCCGTGGCACACCCACATAACCACCCTGCTGGCCACCTTGCCCCCCAACACCCCCAAAGAAGGAGCAGGGCTGGCAATGCCCGCCAGGAATCGTGTGATCCTGCATCAGATCTTAAACCAAAGAAAAGCGGAAAAAACCCGTTTTGGGGCACTCACCTCTCTCTTCTCATCTCCTCAGCAGTGTTCCTCCGCCTGCCCTCCCACTTGCTCTCTCTTTGTTTTTTCCTTTTTTCTCCCTGTCTTTTAACTAATTACTCAGTTAACAAGTGAGCTCTCTGAAGCGCGGGTCGGTACCTAGTGACTCCACGCGCACGATAAAGAAATCAGCCGTCACCAATACAGAAGTCAGAGGGGTTTAAATCAAATCTTCCTCCACAACAATGACATTAATTATGCTTTTAACACGTTTTACTGCTTTTTTTCTCACTTCACGCCACATCTGTGTGAACAATATCCAAAAGATTTACGGTTTTCTTTCGTAATTACAGACATACAGGCTGCACACTTATCAAAATACTTGCTGAGCAATCAGGCTATATCGCATTCTCTGCCAAAGATTTGTGTTGGCAGCAGTCATTCAAAACAAAAATGTTGAATCAGGACTTGTGTGCGGCTCCGGGGGTGTATGTGTGGGGGGAAGAGTTTCAACAAATAATTTTCCTGTCAAGAAATACACTAACAGGAGCGCGCGCATCCTACCCCGGCTCATTTTTTCAGGAGCGGGATTTTTATGGTGGGGGTGGGGCGGAGGGGGGGCGAGGGGCAGCAAGCAGGGATGCTCTGAGCGCCAAAAACGCATCTGACATTTGGTTCTTGTGTCTGAGGATAAAATTTAATGAGAACAAAAATATGTCTTCCTAATTCCCCTAAGAAATCATTAAAACATTTTGTTATTCTTAAATGTCTCGAAAATGAATTAGAGCCCCTAAAGGGGCTGTTTGTGTGGTACGTCTCCATCCGTTAAGGCTCCTCATTCTCCTACTCGGTGACAGCTGGGGACGTCCCCCCGCCCCGCCATTTCTGGGAAGGAGAGCTGGGAAATCAGACACACGAGTCAGCACCGGCTTGGAATGACCTCCGCGCTCCCAGGCTTTGGGGAGAGGGCACAAGGGGCCCCCGGAAAGCCCTGCTCCAGTCTCGGGGGCTCTCAGGACCTTGGCTGGCCCTGCACCTGTTTCAAGTCTGAAGTCCAGGGGCTGGGGATTTAGCTCAGCGGCACAGAGCCTGCCTGGCAAGTGCAAGGTCGTGAGTTCGATTCCTGGTACTGGAAACAAAACAAAGCAAACAAACAAACAAACAAAACCAAGTCTGATGTCCAGAAAGATGAAGGTCCCTGGGGACCCCGGCAGTGAAACCTCACAGCCGGTGGAGGCTGTAGCCTCTCACTGTTTCCTGTTTCTGTCGGCCCCTACACCCCAAGCTCTCGCATACCGGCACGCCTCTGGGCTGGCGGTGGCAGCTTAGGTGAGCTACCGTCTGGTCACCTATGTCCTGTGTCACCAGGATATGAACTTCTGGGGGCCGGCCTCCTGTGTCTGGGTCAGTGGATGGGAATGTGACAGTGAAGGGGGCTGTGGGAGAAAAGGGAACAGACCCATGTGCCCTAAGTGTACCACTGGATGTCCCCAAAGTGACCACACTACTGTGAACTGTACCCAGGCTGAGCAACAGTACTCCCAACAGCACCAGGTTTTTTTTTTTTTTTTCATTTGAGGTAAAGTTCACATAACATAAAAATTATCATTTTATTTTATTTTATTTTATTTGTCTTTTTGAGACAGGGTCTCGCTATGCAGTTCAGGCTGGCCTCGAGCTCACTTTGTAGCCCAGGCTGGTCTCGAACTCACAACGATCCTCCCGCCCCAGCCTCCCGAGTGCTGGGATTACAAGTGTGCACCACCACGCCTGGCTAAAATTATCATTTTAAAGCGAACAATTCCGTGACATTTAGTATACTCATAATGTTCTGCTGCTGCTTATATCCAGCTCCAGAACTTTTTTTTTTAGTGCTAGGAATTGAACCCAGGGTCTTTGCACTGAGCTACATCCCCAGCCCTTTTGTTATTTTTTATTTTGAGACAGGGTCTTGCTAAGTTGCCAAAGCTGGGCTCAAACCTGCCATCCTCCTGCCTCACCCTACCACGGTGTTGGGATGATGGGTGAGTGCCACCAGGCCCCGCTCTAGTTCCAGAACATTTGTATCTCCTCAAAAGGAAACTAATTTGCATCAAGTACTTGCTCCCCAATCCCCGCCCCCCAGCCCCTGCGCTGGCCAAGCCCTTTTCATCCCTACAGATCTGCCTTTGCCGGATGTTCCTGTAAATGGAATCATGTACTACGTGGCCCTTGGAATCTGACTTCTTTCACTTGGGGCCATGTGCTTGGCAGTTCAACCAGTTGCAGCGTGGATCAGCACCTCAGTCCTTGCCCTGGTGGGAAACAGTCCACAGCACGGAGCCCACACTTAAAAGCTCCATCTATCCCTTGCTGAACGTGGGCTACCTTCCTGTGGGCCGCGGTGAGCGGCGCCAACAGACCTCCGCGGGCCTGTCTGTGTTTCTGTAAATGGAGCCACGCAGCACGCACTCTTCTGGGCCCGGCTTTCCTTCGGCATCAAAATTTAGGGGTGGGCCGAATCGCTCTAGGGCAGACTTGGTGGTCGTCACTCTCTTTCTCCCCGCTGACAGACAGCAACGGCTCCTCTGTCACCTGGAGCCATGCTTCGGGGTTCCGATGATTAAGACACCTGGCTTGCCAAGGGAACTCGGGATATCTCATCAGAAGCCCCCAAAGCGGGCTCGCGTTGGCTGACGGGGGAGCAGGGCTGTGTCACGTCAGATGGGTGTGGCCCCCAGCCCCACAGGGGCTCACCGAGGAGCCCAGGTCTGCCCCCGGATCCCGCTGCCAGGAAGCGCCTGCGCAGCCTGCTCAGGGCAGGCCCTCCTCAGTAATTATTCACTTATGGAGCCAAGTGTTTCTTACCTGGTGCTTCAATTAATTGCTTGTAAACACTCAGAAAAGCCGCCTCCGCCTCCTGACTTCTCTTACTAAGGGCCACCACCTTTGGAAACAAGAGAAAGCGTCACGCGTAGCCACGGCCTCTGGGGCTGCAAGCAAATAATTTTCTACCTGCACAAATGTGGGGTGGGGAAGGGGAAATGAAGGTTATGAGTCTGGGCTCTGAACTTAGGAACTGAGTTCAAAGCCCAGCTGCACTGTGTCCAGGCTGTGTGACCTCGGACAAGTCATTGTCCCTCTCTGATCCTGAATGTTCTCCTCTGTAAAATGGGGAGCACCCAATAGGACCTACCTCTTAGGCCTGTTGTGGGGATTAAGCGAAGCTGCCTGTAAGTGCTAAACACAGCAACAGGTACGCAGCGGGTTATTAACAGCCATTATTAATTTTCTCGTTATTAAAGAGAATGCTGCAAGTTCAAACATATGTGTTTTGCGAGAAACTGGGACACAGCTGGGAATATTTCTTGCTACGGAGAATTAAAGAGAAACTGTTAAAGTTCTTGAAAGGCACCAAACAGCTTCAACAACTGCTGGAAGAGCAGGGTTATGTGACATGGATTCCGGCGGGCTGAAAGTGCTCAATGGTGCTTCCCAAGGGAACGGATTGGTGAGTGGATGGCAGGGTGGCCGGGGGGTGAGGTGCTGTCACCAAGGGTGGCATCATTTTGCTGCTCACGGATCTTCCTCACTCCGCTGATGAGAGCTCACGAGATGCCGGCGGCAGGGCAGAAAACACCCTGTGACGCGCGGACTCTCAACGGGCCTGGGGGCTGCCAGGACCTGGGGCTCAGCACCGCCTCGCAGTCACCCCTCAGAGGAAGCCGGTGAGGTGCTCAACACAGTTTGTTGAATGAACAAACCCAAGTGGATCACAGCAGCTCTGGGTCCTGACTGTGACGCCATGTTGGGGTCCCACCCTCACTCTCACCCCCAGGGGCTATTTCTGAGTCATTTCAGGGAGGTGGTTGACGGAGGCACAGGCCCTGGAGCTGACCGTTTGGGTTCAAATTCCAGCTCCACCTACGTGTGCGTCTTTGGGAAGAAAGGCCACCTAAACTTCTGTGCCTCTATTTCCCATTTGCAAACTGGAGATGATACAACAATTTCCCCCTAAGGGGTGCTGGGGGCATGAAATGATTTAATACATGTAAAGCCATTTGAGAAACTCCTGGGGTACCTTAGGCCCCATAGGTTTTTCACTTCTAGGTATGACCAATTAATTCCCTCCTTGCCCGGAAGAGCAGTAAGTTCTGCTGGTACCAAGTGATGACCTCAGCTGTGTTTGTCCTGGTACCAGGTACCAGCCTCAGCTGAGAAAGGCCCCGCTTCCCTACACAGCGCAGTGCATTCTGGGAAGAAGAATTTGAAAACAGCAATGGTGCAGTTCGGCAGGCCCAAGCCACTTCCGGCTACTGAGCCCTTGAAATGCAGCCAGTCCAAGTTAAGATGTGCTGTGAGTGTGAAATACACACAGGACTTAGAAGACTCAACATGTAATAATAGCTCATCAACATTGTTTTTAACATTGATTACATATCAACGTGATAACAGGTAATCACTTTTTCTTTTTTTAAATCACTTTTTCATTTCCTACCGGAGAAAGTGAAATTACATTTGTGTATCACATTATATTTCTGCTGGACAACACAGTCTGAAGATTTTACAAAGCCCATGTAGAAGCAGTTAATAAAGAGAGGTAGAGAGAAATGTATGGCCACTGTCAAACAAGCGACTTTTAAAAGGCCAGTTATGAAAGCACCTTAGTCTTTCTCACTGCTCTTCAGATAAGAGTCTGTGGTCTTTGAGCTTCCAGAGTGACGGACTGACTGTCTCTCAGTCACGCAGCAGACACTTCCTGAGCACCTGCTGTGTGTCCAGAACTGGGCACTGTGAGCCCAGTCGTGAGTTCTGCAAGACTTGGTCCCCTTACAGATGGTCCAGCGGGGAGACTGACATTACTACAGATTCCCCAGACAATTCATTAATTACAAGTGCTAAAGGCTTGGGAGGAGAAGTATAGGGGGGCTGGGAACGGGTGTAAGCTGGGGGAGGCTGACCCAGTTTGCTGATAGGACACAAGGAATTCTCTCTCTGAGAAGGAAAATACGGTAGAAGGAGGGGAAGGTTCAGAAAGAATGTTCTAGAATCAAGGCAAAGAGAAAATCACCAAATGGAGGCGCACTTATTTTTGCTGAGATGGACAGGACAGTTCCCGCTCTGGGGACTCTCAGTTAAATGGGAAACAGCCACGCCCATGAGGGCCACAACACGAGAGGGGTGCAAATGCTGTGGTCTACCAGACAGGGTGAGGGGGCAATTAATTCAGAGTCTGGGGTCACCCACTTAACATGTACCACATCGGATGCTCCATTTACGGACTGTTTGATCGGGACAGGGTCTTGCTATGTAGTGCAGGCTGGCTGCAAGCTCGCGCGCTCCTCCACTACAGGCATGCGCCCCCACACCCAGCTCCTTCTATTCTTGATTGTCTGAATGTCCGCTGACGCTCTCCTTCTTGTGTGGATGAGGACACTGAGGTTCAGCGAATTTAACTTCCTTGCCGAAGGCTACCCCATCAGCAAATGGCAAGCCTCGGATTCGCGTCAGATCTGCAGGTTCAGACTAGGGTTCCGAATCCAGACGCCAGCACTTCCGCTCCTGGGTAGAAAAACTAGACAGCCGGGGACCAGTCATTCAGACCCCACCTGGACGCTGCTCCCTCCCAAGTCCTCTACAGCTGTGCAGCAGACCTGGCACCCAAGGAAATCGCGGGAAACAAAAGCAACTGCTCTCTCTAGCCCGAGATGGGCAGCTATTGAAGGCCGGTGGGTACAGTCTGAATGCTCCGTGTGAGAGCTGTCCGCGCTGAGCACGGGTGGTGGATGGAGCTTGGGAAAAGGCGCAAGAACGCTGCAGTCTGAACCACGTAGCAAGACTCTTGTCTGAAAAGCCCAAAACCAACAAAACAAAACAATGAACTCTGAAGGGACTGGGGCAAGGGCTGGGAGTCTTAACGCTTCCCTGGACCTGCCCGCGGCGCCTGCTGCGTTTCTGTCACAGCAGTCCTCAGCTCTGTGACCGTCTTCTCCCCACACCCACCCTCTCCTGAGGGCTGAGCCGTCCCGTGCGAGGGCCACCAGCCCCCGTGGCACTGGTCCCTTGAAATGTGCCCATTCCAAACTGAGATGAGTTGCAAGCTTAAAATAAAGAATTTCTCAGTCTTAGCACAAAAAAGGGCTAAGAAAGGTCTCAACAATTATTTTATATTGATTATATGTTGAAATGATAATGTAGTGGTCGGATTAGGTTAAATAAAAGATATTACTGAAATTAAATTCACCTGCTTCTCCTTACGCTTAACAGTAGCTACTAGAAATATTTAAATTACACATGCAACTTGCGTTCTGTAGCTCTTGTAAAGTGCTAAGCAATGACCAAGGGTAGTGGACTATGGCCCCTAGGTCAGATATGTGCCTTTATCCATTTGTGTAAGGGGGGGCAGTAATGAGGACTGAATCCAGGGAGCGCTGAAACACAAACCTAGCCTTTTCCTCTTCCTTTTTTTTTTTCTTTTTT